AGAGAGAGAGAGAGAGAGAGAGAGAGAGAGAGAGAGAGAGAGAGAGAGAGAGAGAGAGAGAGAGAGAGATATTTAATAAAGAATGAGGAGTTTTTAAAATTAATATAACTCTCTCTCTCTCTCTCTCTTTCTCTCTTAAATATTTTTAAATAATAATAATAACAACACTTTATGGCCATAAATGTTAGTTTAAATTACATTTTTTAATACATTAAAATATATTTTACATGAAAATTTAAAATTTAAAAATATAAATCCATAAGTATATTATTATTATTATTATTATTGCTATTTTTTACGGTAATCAGTATATTTTTGCAAATATAATAAATATAAAATAATTATTTTAAAGTTAATTTTTTTTAAGACATAATAATAATAAATGACTAAATAAATGAATGACTGAATATATTTCTTATAAATCATGCGATTATTTGAAATAAATATATAATTACCAGATATTTAACTTAAAAAACTTGTTTTTTTTATTGAAAAATTTAAATTTTCAAAAAATAATTTATATTATTTACTTATAAATATCGCTATCAAACTAAATTAAATATTTTTTAAATAAGATTCATTTATTTTAAAGATTTTATTTAATGATTATTTTTTTATACAAATTGTTTTTTTTAAATATATATATAAATCATATATTTTAAAAATACTTGAATATAATTTAACTATAATTATAAGTTGATGATCTGAAAAAAAAATATTTGAAAAACTAATTTCAAATTTTATTCAAAATAGTTTTAATCAAATTCAACAACAAAAAAACAATTGCTAAACAATTATATAATTTAATTGGATGAAAAAAATACACTTTAAATATTTATCTTATATTTGTAATAATAATAATAATGATAATCATTGAATTTATCAATATTATAGATAGTAAATAATCGATTATTTAATATATATTACATATATATATATAATTTTGAAAATTTCTAAATAAACGTTTATTGCATTTATCTTATTATTGTTATTAGTGTTATAATTAGGGTTAGATTGAGATTCCCAGGGAGGGAAGTTCCCAAATAAAATCCCTCCAATTTTCCCGGAAAATATGGAAAATATATTATATTCCCTCCCTTGATCGTTAGAAAGGGAAAATATAATTTGTCATACATTATAAAGTACTTAATCTCAATGACTATGTGTTTCAATTGGGACCAGTATGTTAGCAATAACTCAATCAAAATATGATTCAAATATTATTAAACATTTAGTAAAAACATTAAATACATTTTGCAGTCATTTACTATACAAACGTGTTTTTAATTAAACATTATGTAATGTGAGTTAGGGTACGATAGGTGGTACCACAAGGAAATGTCTTCCCAGGGAATTCCCAGGGAAGAGGGAATATAAGGAACTTATGGAAAATAAGACGAGGGAGGGAATCTGATCTAACCCTAGTTATAATAGATTTAAGTATTTTAATAATAATAATAATAATACTAATTTAAATCACGTATTTATTTATATATATGATGTGTAACGAAAAATCAAATAAATAAATAAAATAATTTTATTATTATTTTTACAAAATTTTACATTAATTATCCCATAAATTTTCATTCACAATGCATAAAAAATATTTTGTTTTTATTATTATTATTATTATTATTATTATTATTATTATGTTTAGAAAACTATTTTACAATTGAATGATATTTTACAAATAAAAAAACATGTTATACTTTATATAATAAATTATTTTTTAAATGAATCATAATTTATGATTTCATTTGTCATTTAAATATATAGAAATATTTGAATAGAAATAATAATAATAACTATTATTTTATTTTTATTTTTTCATATTATTTTGATTCATAAACATTTATTTATCTATTGTTTGAAATATATAAATAATTTTCAAAATAAAATAACATTTTTACAGTTTTTATTTTTCTTATTGCGATTAAAAAGACATTGACTTTGAAATTATTGAAACAACAATTTTTAAATTATTTAACCGCAAAATATTTATTATTAAATATTGTTTTGTTTGCATAAAACTAAATAATTATTTAAAATGTTTTTATTTTATTTAAGATATTTGAATATACTGTAAAACAATAATAGAGTAAATATTATTATAAATAACTTTAATATATTATTTTTTTTTTTTGGGTAGTTTTAGTGACAATATAATGATAAATATATATATATTTGAAAAATATTTATTACAATATAACAGCAAAATTTTTATATAAGTACAGTATATATATATATATATTTGTATATAAAGATATCATAACATAAAACAAGATATCAAAATTAGTTTTTCAAGTTTTTTTTGTTTTAAAATAAAATACAAATTGACCTCAAATTACTATCAACTCATACTAAATAAAGTAATGCCAAATAAAATTAAAATATTATTTTGTAAAAAATTGTTTCAAAATTTATTTTTTTTTTTAAAAACATAGTGATAGATATCTTTATTATAACTAAAAATTTAAATTATATTATATTACAAAATTTTTTTGACACAATTTTTTGACTATATTTGTTTGCTAAGTAAGTTATTATACATATTTGGGATTTTTTTTATAAAAGAAAATACATATTATATATAATATTTTTTTTTATTATTTTCTACTTATTTGATTAAAAACAAAACTATCATTATATAGTCAATAAATAATTTTTAGTTTTTCGTTTAGTTTAGTTTTAAAAAATTTTTTTATAGTTTTTTTTTTGGATGATAAGCAAATTTGTTGTTTTATTATTATTGTTGTTGTTGTTATTTGTGTTACAATTTTTTTAATATATATATATATTTTAACATTTTTTTTATTAAAAAAAACTAAACATAACTGTTGTAACACATATTTGACGGTATAATAAATAATTATAAGATTAACCGCAAAATAATAATTTTTTTTAGTTAACATTTAGTTATATTTTTTTCATCGATATATTTTCATTTTGATTTAAAAATAATTTTACTCTACTTTTTTTCTGCTCATAATATATATATATATATATATATAAATTGTATATCAAAATAACTCAATAATAATTAGTGTGTTATTCAATCATAAAAATATAGTTTTCATGAAATATATATAAAAATTATTTTAAAATTCAATACCTAATAATAAATGGTTTACTTTTTTTTTGATGTAAATAGTAGTTATAATAGTTTGATAGATATAAATATTTTATATAAATAATTTTATATGAAAATGTGGTTTATATTTCAAACAACAACAACAAAAATATAAAATAGTATAACATTTTATTAAATACAAAATCTAACGTTAAAAAAATTTTTGTAATTATAATTATTGGTATCAATAATATTTTAATATAATATTTTAACTCATCATTCAATATGACTTAACTCCGGAAAATTGTTTTAAAAAAAATTTAAAAATTAGTTTAATTTAAAAAACACTATAAAACAGTATATATATATCATATAAGTTATTAATAAAATATTTTAAAAATATTTATTTGATTATTTTGAAAATATGTTGATTGAATTTCTAGTTATGTTAAAGTAATAATAATAATAATAATATTATTATTTTTTGTATAATTATTTTTTTTAATTTTGTATTTTATTAATAATATATATATACACATAATAAATATTTTTAAGAAATTTACTGATTATTTATTGATTTATTATTATTATTATGTTTTATACAAGTTTTGAATAATAATAATAATAAATCAAACAATCAATACATCATTTATTTGGCCACTAATTATGACAGATTATATATATATATCTTAAATAAATTTTATTAAAAACAGTTAACATAACAGTATAGCTAATAAATTAACAGAAAACCTGTTAATTGTTTAAAAAAAAATAATTAATTTTAGCAAAATATTAAAAAAAGAGAGGAAGCAAATAAATAAAGTAAAAATTATTTATTACTTTTAGTAAATATTTATTAAATAATTAAATATTAATTTAAAAAAAACATTTTCTTATATAATACTATATATATATATATATATATGTAGTTATAAATTATTAAATATTGAAAAAAAATATTATGATATATTTAATTTGTTTGAATATTAATCTATGATTTATTGATTAATTTTATTATTTTTTAATAAATAAAAATATACTAAAAATTATTTATTTATTTATATATACAGAACCTGGAGGTCGTCGAGCGTCTCAATGAGTGCGGACAGTTGGCCGCCCTATTGGCCGACTTTAAGCTAACGGCAAATGTGCTAAACGTGTGCAAGTGTTGCGGTGGCACTAAATTTATACCCTGTCAGGTATGGGCCTAAAAATTATTTTATTTATGGTGGGTTTTCCCTCAAAATATTGATTGATATTATTTTTATTATTAAACAAAAAAAAATAATAACATTTTTTTTATGTACTTCAAACATAAAAATTTTCAATTTTCCTAAAAAATAAAACTATTTTTTTTATTAAAAATAATATATATTTTTGTTTGCAAGTAAATACTGTACATCATTAAGTATATACTAGAAAGTTAAAAGTAGAAAATTTAATTAATAAAATAAAAATTTGTATATTTTAAAAAATATTTAATATTTAGTAAATTTATCAGATTAGTAAATAATGTTAACTAATTTTATTAATTAGTAAAACAATTATTATAATTTATTTATAATTTTTTTTATAATTGAATGTATAATATTTTTTAAAAATATTTATAAATATAACTATATTTAAAAATTAAAAAAATATTTAATATACAGTATATTAATGTATTAATAGATATTATATAGATCATGGATGTAATAATTTATATTTATAAACTAAAGTTATAAATTCAAATTTTTTTATTTATTATTTATATATTAATTTTTTTTTGTATAATTAATTTTATGGACAGGTATGCAATGGGTCGACCAAATCGGCTGTCCATCATTTTGTTAGCGATTCAATATCATTGAAGTGTTCACAATGTCGGCGCACTGGACTACAAAAGTGTCCCAAATGTTATTCAGACAGTGATAATAATTTAACAAATAATGATAATAATAATACAGATATTACTACTACTACTACTACTACTACTACTACTACTACTAAAAATAATCAAAAATTATAAATACAATATATTATTATTATTATTGATGCCAATTAATGTTAAATAATATAAAAATATCTATTGATATAAAGCCTATTGTAAATATTATAAAAAAATATTACTATATATATTATTATTGAGATTTATTTTTTTATAATTTTTATTTTTATATATATATATATATCAATATTATTAAAATATAACTATTATTAATTATATCATTATTGCCAGTTTAAACATTATATTATTTATTATTATTATTAGTTGTATTAATATTATTAGTAGTTTTTTTTTGAATATTTATTTAAAATTTTGTTTTTATTATTAAAATGATATCTTATTGGAGATTATAACTAAATATTTATTACAATTACTTACAAATACAAACAGATTTATTATTTAAAAAAAAAAGTTTAATACAATTATGTTAAAAATCAAATTAGTTTTTTTTTATAAATATAAAAAATATTAATTAATAGATCTTAATAATTAAAAATAACTATAGTTTTTGAGGTATTATTTTTTATGTTTATAATTAATATTATTTTTAGTAGTAAATTGTATTTTAATAATATTATTAATACATATTTTGTGGGTTATTATTGTTGATAACAAAACAAAAAGTGTTAACAACTATTTTTTTTACTGATGTTAAATAATATAACACTAATAATATTGTTTTGAATTTTTTTTAAAAATATATTTTTGTATAAAAATATTGTAATCAGGTTTAGATAAAAATAAGATATTGATAATAAATTTTTTTATACTATTTAATCAATAATTTATTTATATTTTTTATTTTACATAACTAAACATTTTTCTTAATTATTAAGTTATTATTGTTATTATTTAAAAATTATCAAATCATTTAACACTAATAGTTATAACTGTTTAGTGTTTAAGTGTTGTGTAAACTGATTATAAAAATTAAATATTTTTTTTGGTTTGTTTTATTTAACAACAATAGTAATAATAATAAAGTTATAAAGTATTAGATAATATTATAACATTATTATTAGTATATCTACTATAATATTATCTAATAGTTTATAACTTTATTATTATTGATTGTTTCAGTAAATTCATGTGAAATTTGTGTGAATAAAATTTTGAGTACAAATAATCTATAAAAAAAAATTATAATAACAAAAAAAACAATTTAAAAAAACAATTTAATTTAAGTTTTACTTTAATCATTAAAAATAAAACTTTCAGTAATCTTAAAAATAGATATAAATACTATATATTGAATATATATATATATATATATTAATTGTTATAACATGAAAATAAAATTTGCAAAAAAACAAAAAAAAATGTCTAATTTTTTAGTTATATGTTTAAGTTTAGAGGACATACCTAATAATATATAACTGGCCCCTGTCATTGCCAATAATAATAATAAATAAAACATGTTATATATATATATATATATATTGGGGTCATTTGGCGTTTCAATAATTGGGAAATTTAAAAAAAACATATCTGTAAAAAGTTTATATGTTTTTTTGTTTAGCAGTAAAAAAATGTTTGTTTTTTTTTAATAAAATTAATTATTTTATGAATAATTGTTTTATTTTCTGTATTAACAAATGTTTGTGTTAACACTGTATTTTGATACTATATATATATGATTAATTATTTTGTTATTTTGTTATTTATTTATTTCTAAAAAATCATAAAAATAGCTAATCATTATGTGTTTGAATTTTCACAACAACAACAACAATAACACAAATTGTTTGTACAAAAAAAAATATTTTACAAAAAAATGTAACCATTTATTTATGATACAACAAATAGATGTAATAATTGTAACCATAAATAATCAACGATTACATTGTTTAAGAAAATTTTTTTTAAAAAATTTAAAAATAATTTAAGAGATTTTTAAAAAAAAATTAATTAGTTTTATATGATTTTATTTGTGTGTGAATTATTATTTATTTTTTAAAAATAAAAAATATTATTTATATACTCATATATATATATATAAAAGGGGTTTTCATTAATCTCCGGCACGCGGTTTTTGCTATAATTCTTAAACGGAGTGAGATATATTAATTTTGTAAAAAGTGTTTTAAAAAGTGATTTACGCGTGATAATATAAAATTAAAAATTTTTAATTTTGATCATGTGATCATATTTATTCTTGGATGTTTGCAAACCACTATGTCAGAATCTAACCTATAAATGTTAGAATAAATTTTCAATAGCATATTTGTAAAGCTTAAATTGAAAATTTATGGGAAGAAAAAATTTTTGAAATTGGTCGGAAAATAAATTTTTTATGGCTTTTCAAACATGTGGAAAAACACATTATAAGAAAAAGTAAAAAATAATATGACATTATTTATGGACAGTAGACACTTATTAGATAAAGATTTTAATACTATTACTTATTCTAATAAAAAAATTTTTTTATGTCAAATATTTTTTTAGATAATCAAATTAAAATAAAAAACACAACATTGTAATTCGATAATATAATTTTTAATTAAATTTGATTATCTAAAAAAATATTCGACATAAAAAAATTTTGTTTTTAGAATAAGTTATAGTATTAAAATCTTTATCTAATAAGAGTCTACTGTCCATAAATAACGTCATATTATTTTTTACTTTTTCTTATAATGTGTTTTTCCACATGTTTGAAAAGCCATAAAAAATTTATTTTCCGACCAATTTCAAAAATTTTTTCTTCCCATAAATTTTCAATTTAAGCTTTACAAATATGCTATTGAAAATTTATTCTAACATTTATAGGTTAGATTCTGACATAGTGGTTTGCAAACATCCAAGAATAAATATGATCACATGATCAAAATTAAAAATTTTTAATTTTATATTATCACGCGTAAATCACTTTTTAAAACACTTTTTACAAAATTAATATATCTCACTCCGTTTAAGAATTATAGCAAAAACCGCGTGCCGGAGATTAATGAAAACCCCTTTTATATATATATATATATATATATATATATCAATAAATTTTTAGTTAATTTCATCATCATTTTTTTAATATGCGATTTTTATAAGTAAAAAAATTAATATTATATTTTTAAACGACAACAATATATTATTTATGTTTTTTTTAATTAACTTAAGACAACAACAAAAAATAAGACAATAATTCATCGCCTAATAAATTCATAACAGTTTTATGTAATAATATATTTTTTAAATGTTTAGTTTGATTTTTTTAGTCGCTGTTGTTGTTGGTGTGTTTGGTGGGCACAGCCTACTAAAAAACAGGCCCTCCGGTACCGTCTCTCTCTCTCTCTCTCTCTCTCTCTCTCTCTCTCTCTCTCTCTCTCTCTCTCTCTCTCTGTCTCTCTCATCATATTATATAAGTTAAGTCCTAATAATCATTGGGTCATCAAAATTGTTAATTTTGTTTTTAAAATTTAATGTATATATATATACTGTATTAGGATATACTTGTGATACACACACACACACACACACACACACACACACACACACACTAAACAAAAAAATAGGACAAAACTTTTTAACATATAATTTATAAATTAGTTACAATTATTGATATATTATACATAAAAAATTATATACTCTACTTTTATTTATGTATTATAGACTGCATATATACTGTATATACTGTATATACAGAACTATTTACCAGCCATAGCGGAGAGGCGTGCACATTATGTAAAGATACAGTAAAACATATTTATATAGAATTAACATATATTTAAGAAATTGAAAACTATTTAAAATTAAAATCACATTTATTTAATTATTAATTAGTTTTATATATAATTATATAATATATTTATAAAAATACAGAAAAAATTATTTTATTTAAATGACTTAATATATCACTATTTATTTAAATGACTTAATATATCACTATTTATTTATTATTATTTATATTACAATTTATTGCCGACAAAGTGCTGGTCATTATTAGGAGGTCTCTGGAGTGTTGTATTGGTGTCGATAGATGTACTGCTGTTGATGGCTATCATCTAAAATGAATGAATGAAATATTCGGTCAGAGATATCATCGGTTATGTCCAACACAACTACTACTATTCAATCATCAAATACCTGTTGCGGTGATAGTGGATCAGCGTTATCAATGGTCGGGCCGTTGCTCTGGTCTTGAGTATGGATGGTAGATAAGGTTTTATGGATGGTAGATAAGGTTTTATGGATGGTAGATATGTCATCATAGTTGTCACTAAAATACAATTAAGTGGTAGATAAGGTTTTAAGGGTGGTAGATATGTCATCATAGTTGTCACTAAAATACAATTAAGTGGTAGATAAGGTTTTAAGGGTGGTAGATATGTCATCATAGTTGTCACTAAAATACAATTAAGTGGTAGATAAGGTTTTAAGGGTGGTAGATATGTCATCATAGTTGTCACTAAAATACAATTAAGTGGTAGATAAGGTTTTAAGGGTGGTAGATATGTCATCATAGTTGTCACTAAAATACAATTAAGTGGTAGATAAGGTTTTAAGGGTGGTAGATAAGGTTTTAAGAGTAAGGTAAGGGTGGTAGATAAGGTTTTAAGGGTGGTAGATAAGGTTTTAAGAGTGGTAGATAAGGTTTTAAGAGTGGTAGATAAGGTTGGTAGATAAGGTTTTAATGGTGGTAGATAAGGTTTTAAGATGGTAGATAATGGTAGATAAGGTTTTAATGGTGGTAGATAAGGTTTTAAGGAGTGGTAGATAAGGTTTTAAGGGTGGTAGATAGGTCATAAGGTTTTAAGGGTGGTAGATAAGGTTTTAAGGGTGGTAGATAAGGTTTTAAGGGTGGTAGATAAGGTTTTAAGAGTGGTAAGATAAGGTTTTAAGGGTGGTAGATAAGGTTTTAAGGTGGTAGATAAGGTTTTAAGAGTGGTAAATAAGGTTTTAAGGGTGGTAGATAAGGTTTTAAGGGTGGTAGATAGATCATAGGTCACTAAAAAATTAGTAAGGTTTTAATGGTGGTAGATAAGGTTTTAATGGTGGTAATAAGGTTTTAAGAGTGGTAGATAAGGTTTTATGGATG